GCGTTTAACACTAGGAGTGGGCACTACGAATATCTCGTTATGCCCTTCGGATTATGTAATGCTCTGTCCGTATTTTAAGACTTCATTAATAATGTACTCAGAGACTATGTTTACTCTTTTGTGCTTGTATATCTGGATGATATCCTTATTTATTCCCCCGACATCCAAACTCATCATGATCATGTCAAAAAAGTTTTACAAACTTTGCTTAAAAATGGTCTTTATTGTAAACTTGAGAAATGCGTATTTAATCAACATGAGGTTCAGTTTTTGGGGTATAACATTTCTGCCTCTGGTTTCCAAATGGATCCTCGAAAACTAGAGGCCATTCTACAATGGCCATTACCCAGTGGATTAAAAGCCATACAGAGGCTTTTTGGTTTCTCTACCTATTACAGGAGATTCATCAAAGGTTTCTCTTCTGTAATAGCCCCCATCACCAATTTGACACGCAAGGGGTCTAATTGTACTATATGGCCTAAAGAAGCTAAAGAGGCTTTTGAGCTTCTTAAACAAATGTTCGCATCTGCTGACATATTAAGACAGAAAGAAACAATGTGTGTGAACACCCACCACAGTGTAATAAGTGCTTAATTTATATCAACAGAAAGGAACTTTCCTGTATAGGATAAGATTTCCAATAGTATCCCAAAAGACTTCCTCTTGTCTTCCACACAACACAAGCAAAAAAAAGGGGGATGATCTGCTGAACCAATCATAAATATAACAACATAGCGTATAACTGTGTATGACGACAAATTGTAGAAGTTATATTCACAAATGGCCACTCACACTTTTGCTGAAGTTTGCAAGCCTTGAATATTTTCCTTTTTAAAATAGGAATTCCAAATCCTCTGTCTGGGTTAAAATCTCCATAGATATATTGGCATATACGTGATCAAGATATAAAATCATCAGTGTAGTCCCTCTATGTCACCACCAGGGGTCCTACGCGTTTCTTCCAACCAAATAGGACTTCCTCAGGGACTTGTATGGTGTGTGATCAACAGGTACAAATAAACAATGAACAATTGTTCATTTGTACCTGTTGATCACACACCATACAAGTCCCTGAGGATTTGGAATTCCTATTTTGAAAAGGAAAATATTCAAGGCTTGCAAACTTCAGCAAAAGTGTGAGTGGCCATTTGTGAATATAACTTCTACAATTTGTCGTCATACACAGTTATACGCTATGTTGTTTTATTTATGATTGGTTCAGAAGATCATCCCCTTTTTTTGCTTGACATATTAAGACATCCTGACACTAGTAAATCTTTCCTACTTGAGGTTGACGCCTCCGAGACAGGGGTCAGGGCTGTTCTTCTCAGAGAGAGAGTCAGGATGCATCCTTGTGGTTACTTCTCCAGAAAGTCCTGCCGAGCGTAACTATGACATTGGTAATAGAGAACTGTTCACCATCATACTAGCGCTTAAGGAATGGCGACATCTTTTGGAGGGTTCCAAGGATCCCATTTTGATTATTACTGATCACAAGAACCTGGCATATATTGGGGATGCCAAATGACTGTCTTCTAAACAAGCTAGATGGTCATTATTTTTGTCTCGCTTTAACTTCATTATTACCTACAGACCCCGTTCTAAGAACGTTAAAGCTGACGCCTTGTCTAGGCAATTTGACCTTGAATCGGATCTAAAACAAGAGACATCCCCTATTATTTCTCCTGAGTTTATTATTGCATTCACTGTCCTTTCTTTATTGTCTCCTTTGGTCCATGTTATCATGGCGGCTCAGTCCCAGGCTTGCAAGAAACCTCAAGATAAATTGTTTATTTCATTGCCTGACAGGAAAGAGGTGCTGAAGGTATTCCATGACAATGTGACCGCTGGGCATCCAGGTATTAATAAAACTGTATCCGCCATTTGCAGATCATTTTGGTGGGAGTCACTCAGGAGGAAATTTTAAAGATTATGTAGAAGCCTGTTCTGTCTGTGCAGTTTCGAAGGTTCCTCATAATCTTCCGTGTGGATTGTCACAGCCACTTGCTATACCCAGTATCTCATTGTCTCATTTATCAATGGATTAAATTGTTGAACTGCATAGCATTTATAACAAGGTTTAACAAAATAAGAAATATGTTACAGAAAAAACAGAATATCCTTAAAGGAGATCCCCAATCAGATCGGATATTGGTCATAGACCAAAAATCATTAATTCTAAAGCTCCTAATTTAAGTACATTATTAGCACCCACAACAAAACAAGAAAAAAGTAAAAAGGAAATAAATCCCACTTATTTAACCCCTTAAGGACCAAACTTCTGGAATAAAAGGGAATCATGACATGTCGCACATGTCATGTATCCTTAAGGGGTTAAAGGCCAAAATGGATATTCCAATTAGAAACTTTGGAACCCAAAGGGTTAAACGTGGACTTCGAATTACATGCTTTTTTAATAATCTTTGTTTTTTTTTTTTTATTATTCATCACTTTTTATCATGTTTTATTTCTTTATGCACCATTCATAAATATATAGTTTTTACAATCTCCAATTTTTACACTTTCCAAAGTTTTAAATTTTTTTTAAAGAACCAAGCAAATTTTAAGGTATTTATGATTCACTAGCACCTTACCAATGAAAGCAGCCTATCATTAAAACTTTTAAAGATTCTTTTAAAAAAACTTTTTTTTTTTTAAAGTGTGTCTCTTAAAACAAACCATTTATTCCTATATGATAAAGTACTAAAATAATTTTTAAAAACAACAAAAAAAAACAAGGTCTAACCTTTATAACATCATGTACATTTATTTAAATTTAAGCAAATTGGCAACAAACAAGAAAGGTACTATATATATCATTATGAATAATCTCTGAGTCATAATGCAATTAATAGAAGCAAAAGTAGCAATACACTTCAGCAAACGGTTTGCCGCGGACTCATCATTGAGTAAACTTTGACCCTGTACCTCACAGTCAGCAGACACATTCCAGCCAATCAGCAGTAGACCCTCCCACCTCCTGGACAGCTCACTAAGAATGCAGCTTCACAATGGATGCTGTCCAGGAGGTGGGAGGGTCTGGGAGCAAGGGTCTGCTGCTGATTAGCTGGAATGTGTCTGCTGACTGTGAGGTACAGGGTCAAAGTTTACTCAATGATGAGTCCGTGGCGAACCGTTCGTGGCGAACCGTTCGTGACAAACCGTTTGGCGAACAGTTCGGGACATCACTATTTAGTATATGTGAAATTTGCATTCTAAAGTATAGTCCATATGTTAGAACCTCAAATACATAAGACTAATCATAGAAAGAATTTGAAGTTTAAAATTATCCTCTTCTATTTTCTAAACAATTTAGTATCCAGTTCCTTCAATAATAATATCCACTTCATTATCTTACTTAACTTAATTTTTACCAGTATTTTTAACCTTGTTAGTTAAGTATACAAATATCAATGTAATTATTACATTTATATACTCTTTGCTTTATATACAATTTTATTTATTTTTAATGTAATCGCATTGCATTTTATATAACTGTATTATTTGTAAAGATTTTTTTTTATGTATTGCATTTGCCATTATAGTCTGCACCTGAATGGGTTAATATAAGCTGGAACATTGCAGTCAGCTATTTAAACCTGAGAGCGGTACTCGCATGATAGCCTCTGATGAAGTGAGCCAACACTCCCGAAACGCGTAAGGACAGCAATACTTTTCGGCACTTACTGCAAAGCACTACCGAGTTTTATTTGGAACGCAGAAGGGGAGAACAGTGACACACATGCGGCACCATTCAGTTCTATCATCTACCAGCTGGACTGTGAAAACTGCCCCTGACAACTAGCTTTTCCACTAACACTTGGTTTTATTCTGCAAATTGTGAGTGCACTTTTAAACCTAGTATTTTATTAAAATTTTGTATACAGTATACACTATGGATCGCCACTCAATTTTTTTGTATAACAGAGGACACAGCTATAACTTATAATCACTATGTATGATTTCGTTTTCCTGGCACTATAGTGCCCTGAGAGTGCCCCCACCCTCAGGGACCGCCTCCCGCCGGGCTCTGGGGAGAGGAAAGGGTTAAACGTACCTTTTTTCCAGCGCCGGGCGGGGAGCTCTCCTCCTCCTCTCCGCCTCCGATCCTCCTATTCGGCTGAATGAGCATGCACGGCAGGAGCTGCGCGCGCATTCAGCCAGTCTCATAGGAAAACATTCATAATGCTTTCTTATGGACGCTTGCGTCTTCTCACTGTGATTTTCACAGTGAGAAGCACGCAAACGCCTCTAGCGGCTGTCAATGGGTTAATCCTAGAGGGACCTGGCACCCAGACCACTTCATTAAGCTGAAGTGGTCTGGGTGCCTAGAGTGGTCCTTTAAGTATTAATATTGATCTACATGCAGTGTACATACATTGATACTAATACATTTGAAGAAGACTTCATTAGTACTGTACTATATCAATATAGCTCGTTCAGTAGATAAACCCCAGCTGGTTTAATAGCTGGAGCTAACTGAGACTAGCTAACATTGCACAGACTGTATCAGTTCATTGATACTTTTTTAACTGCTTAGATATAATTTTTCCATATATGAGATACTGTTTAACATTTTTAAAGGTATATACCACTACCCACTCCTGGATACTCATTATATTATCTCTAATACTAAGTTCTATATTTGTGCACGGCAAGAAAATTTGGCCTGGCCGAACTATTTTTCCAAAAATAAAAAACATTTCAGGACAACTCAATTTCAGCCATATATGGGTTGGGCTCAGCAGAATTTCATTAATGAAAAACTGATTCAGGAAACAAATTAGATAAACAAAAAGCATGTGCAAATGGGCCAATCAGCCTAAAGAAAAATATATACAAAATATAAATATTTTCGCACCATTTGGTTCACATGAACAATAAAATGTTTTGAAACAGCTGCAACAGAAAACAAAACATGGCCCCCAAATGTCTCCCTTTCAATGGGACTGGAATCATTCTAATCTCAGGACCTGGTCCCACCATAGCAATTTTGTTTACCTGGGTCTCGTATTTGGGTATGCCAGGGAACAGCTCCAGCCAGTAGTACAGCACAAGTACATCATTAGACGTTCTTGCACTCTGCTAAGGGCTCTAAGGCCAATCAGACAGAGCTTTATCAGTGCTCTTTTAATGATATGCCCTGGTGTGCATTCATGTCTTCGCTAGGTATCCCTTCCTCATTTTTTGGTGAGATCAGCCATTTTATGTTTCAACAGTGACACAAGTGGCTTTTTTCTTGTGTAAAAGTTTGTATTCCTAACGCTTTAGTGTTTCTTCTAATTGTTTGGTAAAACTCTCAGATTTAAATCTCGGTCATTAAAAGCTGACTTGGATACGCAACTTTTTGGGGCATAAAACAGTATCTTGATTCATATTTAGATGTGTGTAGAATATTCCTGCAATCAATTTATTCCTTGTTTAATCTCTTATCTGTGCACATTTTAACCACATCTCCCATCATTCCCTGTGTTGTCATATACCACTTTGTTAACACTAGCCTTTCATCATATTTAACATAAGCGCATTCTTTTTTCCTATCTACATTGTCCATCTAAAAAAATTTATAACCATTTCAATAAACCGTGATGTGTTATATTTCACATCCTGTCCATTTGTGGCGAATAACCCGTTTCCCCTTCTTACAAGCCAGCCTTCTTTATTTACAATATTATTATCGCAATAATCATTTTCTTTTTGTGTATGCAAATTTAACTTCCCTTTATCTTAAAAATACCTCCAACACATAGTATTTTTGACAGGACACATGGATTCTGTAAACAGATACAACGGCTGTTTAGAGCAATGACAAAATCACTGGGAATTGGCAAATTTAGCATCCATGTAACTGTGTATAAGCACAGTTGCACACAATTCATTTTCTAATTTTGTCACTTTCAATATAATACAAGGATACCTCGTTTAGCACTACCCCTTATAGCGCTGATTCGCTATAGCGCTGTTGCCATACTGGTAACTGCAGAGCGCTGTTTTTTCCGTGTGGGACCTGCTTAACGCTAAAAGCACATGACTGCGTCGTTACAGCGTTAACAAGGGCACCATGGGAGAAAGAACCAGTGAGAGCCAGAGAGAGAGAGAGACAGCAAAATGCAACCTGGAAGATCCATTGGCAAGGTACAGAATACTTTCCTTTTTCCCTTGTTTTTAATAATGTGATTATTAATTGTCTAATACAATTTTTTTCCCCTTGTATCTTTGTTCCCCTTTGTTTCCTGTAACTTTCTTCGTTCCCTTTGTTTCCTGTAACTTTCTTTGTTCCCTTGTTTTTAATAATGTGATTATTAATTGTCTAATACAATTTTGTTTTTGGGGGGGAGAGGGGGGGTGTAATGCAGATAGAGTCACATCTAGTGTTTGTTATCAGGGACCCCCAAATCCTGCAGAGAACATCTGCTGGCAAGGTACAGTACAGAATACTGTATTGTCATTGTTCCATTGTGTTGCATAATGAAAATCTACATTAATTGTAATTTTTATACTGTTTTACAGATGTCTGAAGAGCAGGCTAAGGGCAAGCGCCAGAGTATTCCTCTGGATGTCAAGATTCAAGCGCTGGATCGCCTGGATAAAGGAGAGCGCCAGGTGGATATCGGGGCAGATCTCCATTTGCCTACCTCCACTATCCGCACTATCCTCAAAAACAAGGATAAGATCCACACTTCAGCGACGACCAGCACTGCTTCTTCAGCCAAGAAGATCACCCGCTCCAGGTCCTACGCTCTTGAGGAGATGGAGAAGAGGCTTTCCATATGGATAGATGATGAGCTGGACCGTAATATGCCTCTCAGCCAGGCCACCTTGATGGAGAAGCCGAAGAGCATTTATGCTCACATACAGAGTCAGGATCCAGATGTGATGGAGAGTTTTGCAGCAAGTAGAGGTTGGTTTGACCACTTTAAGAAAAGGTACAACCTCTACAACCTTAAGATCACCGGTGAAGCGGCAAGTGAGGACACTGGAGCTGCTGCAGCCTTTCCAGCCTCTTTAAAGGACATGGTGGATAGAGGGAGCTATCCACCAGAGGTTGTCTTTAATGTGGATGAGACCGGGCTCTTCTGGAAGTGGATGCCAAGCCAGGGAGCAGAAGAGAGCACCGGGCTTTAAAGCTGCGAAAGACAGGCTGACCCTTCTTTTGGGTGGAAATGCCAGTGGTGACTTCCGTATAAAGCCATTGCTGGTGTACCACTCCCAGACACCGAAAGCAATGAGGGGCATTAGCAAGTGCAGCTTGCCAGTCATTTGGAAGGCAAACAGGAAGGCATGGATCACCAGGGATATTTTTACAGAGTGGTTCACTGACCATTTCTGCCCTTCCGTGCAGCATTATTGTCGGCGCAAGGGACTGCAGGAGAAAGCACTGCTCATCATGGACAATGTGCTGAGCCACCCTACTAACTTGACTAAGCTGCATTCCTATGGAGATCCTGTTCCTACTGTCAAACACAACGTCGCTTATCCAGCCTATGGACCAGGGAGTGATTGCCACGTTGAAGGCCTACTATCTCCGCCGCACATTCCATCAGCTGATTGAACACACGGACCGCAAGGACATGCAGTGGACTTCTGGAAGCAATATCACATCATGAAGGCTGTCTCCAACATTGATCTTTCCTGGAAGGAGGTGACACAGCAGTGCCTTAACGCTGTGTGGAAAATGATCTAGCCAGTGCTGTGTGAGGATGTGCAACTACCAGAGCCCATCATAGCGTAGATAGTTGACCTTGTGACCACGGCTGGACTAGGAGACACAGATGGTCAGGACATTGAACAGTTAGTCCAGGTTTCAGGTGAAAGCCTCAACAATGAGGACTTTGAAGAACTGGCTGAACAGGGCACACAGAAACCTCAGGACACCAGCGACTCGGACACTGAGCCTCCAAAAGAGCTTTCCTCTAAGCTCCTAAACAGGGCATTGCATCAGGTCAATGGCATAATGGATGAGCTGGTGGCCAATGATCCTGATGCAACTAGGAGCAGGAATTTAAGGCGCATTGTGCTGGGAGGGGTGTCTTGCTACCGCAATCTGCTGAATAGCCGCAAGAAGCATAGACAAATGACCTTTGATTTGTGGCCACAAAAACGAGGCAAGGGGAGGACCCTGCAGGCTCCACATCCACCATTTAAACCTTTTTTTGGGGGGGGGCGGGGACTGTTACATTAATTTGGTACTGTTTATTTAATTTATTGGGTGCAAAATAAATGCAGTTTTTTGCAAGTAAAAAAAGTTTTAAAATTCTATTGGTGTTGTGTCTTTTTTTCAGAGTTGATTCCCTATGCCTATCTTGCCCATGTTAAACTGCCCCGTTTAGAGCTGTTTTGCTTAGCACTCATCGCAGTTGGAACCTATCTACAGCGTTTAGCGAGGTATACCTGTATTGCATATTTACACTATTTTAATGGTAACTAGAATAACATACATTTTGTATTTATTAATATACATTAAAAATCATCTCATTGACTTTAGCCCCAAGGGATTACATTCCCTAAATCTGGCCTCCATCCATCACAAGCTATTATTTGATCATTATCTATATATTAATGGCCGCTTTAGCACCATTACTAAGGGTGATGCAAATTTCAACCTTTCCAGTTTTTGCAACAACATATATGACATTGTTTTTGCAAAACAGATCTCTATATCTTACATTAAGCTACCAAGTTTTAGTGATCACAATCAAGATTAGAACAACATTCATGGAGGTACTTTTCCTTATATAATTCACGTGATAAACCATTGAGAATTTGAAATGATTAAAGTTAACAACTCGCATAAGCAAAATAAATACATTTCGCCATATAGGATGACAAAAAGTTATATAAACGCTTCCTGTTTTAAAAAAAATAAAGCAGATTTTTCACTGATAAGCAGTGTTACAGTTATATTGCTTAACCCCTTAAGGACACATGACGTGTGAAATGTCATGCTTCCCTTTCATTCCAGAAGTTTGGTCCTTAGGGACAATATAGTCACCAAAACAACTTTAGCTTAATGGAGCAGTTTTGGTGTGTAGATCATGTCCCTGCAGCCTTACTGCTTAATTCTCTGTCATTAGGAGTTAAATCACTTTTGTTTCTGTCAATGAAACATGGACACTCTGACTGCTCTGAGGCAAACTTTACTTCACTTGCAACTTTCAAATCACTTGCTGCCTAATATATCCCACCCCTTGACATTGTAACAATATAATCAATGTTATTCACCTGTCTGTGGTTTTAATCTTGTGGCAGATCATTGCATATGTCTGGGAGTGCATGATAGGGAAAGCCTGACCAAGGATTTTGAACAGTCCCTAAAATGTCTGATGGAACCCCTGTCCATACATTATACTGTTTCTCTTTCTGCAATATACTTACCAAATGGTTTAGTATTTTCATGCACCAAAACATGTATTTTCTTGATATTATTTAAGAATCTGACGGTGTAAACCCCAGTGTCGTTAAGCTGAATGTTCTTCAGCAACAGGGATGCATTAAGACAGGAAAATTCCACTCGTCCTTCATACTTTCGATAAATTTTAACATCTCCCTTGCACTGTTCTGGGATTCCTTGAGGATTGATGGAGCAGTGATGTGCGTAGAAATCAACAATCATATAATCATGGAATGTCCATTCAATGAAGTATTTTGAGAATGGTCTGGTCAATGTATATGAAGCTGGCAGGAGAACAGATTGACCAACAGTGACATTAACAGAGTCTATGTGGACAAAAAGATCAGATGCAGCTGTAACAACAATAATACACAGAATAAATTAATATTAATTTTACTTAAGTTAATTTAATTTTGCATGCTGTCTTCTCAAAATATTGCAAAATAATAATAACACTAATAGTAATAATAATAATAAGGTAATTGTTACGTATTAAGTCAAATTAAAAAAACTAGTCAATCTTTAAAATTTAATTTATTTCTTTTAGTTTTTTTAAGCTACAATTTACTTAAAGGACCACTCTAGGCACCCAGACCACTTCAGCTTAATGAAGTGGTCTGGTTGCCTGGTCCAGCTAGGGTTAACCCTTTTTTAATAAACATAGCCGTTTCAGAGAAACGGCTATGTTTATAAATGGGTTAATCCAGCCTCCAGTGGCTGTCTCTTGACAGCCGCTAGAGGCGCTTGCGTGCTTCTCACTGTGACTCTCACAGTGAGAAGACGCCAGCGTCCATAGGAAAGCATGGTAAATGCTTTCCTATGAGACTGGCTGAATGCGTGCGCAGCTCCTGCCGCGCATGCACATTCAGCCGAAGAGGAGGAGAGGAGGAGGAGAGCTCCCCGCCCAGCGCTGGAGAAAGAGGTAAGTTTAACCCTTTCCTCTCCCCAGAGCCCGGCGGGAGTGGGACCCTGAGGGTGGGGGCACCCTCAGGGCACTATAGTGCCAGGAAAACGAGTATGTTTTCCTGGCACTATAGTGGTCCTTTAATATTGCTATTCTACAATCAGCTCTGATTTTCCATTTGGCTACATATGATAGGACTATCTGTTTATAGAGAGAGACAGATGTAGGAAGCAGGTGTGGGGGAGATGTATCCCCCCAGAAAATCTAGTAGGGTGGATAAAAGGGGCATGATCTCTCAGTCATGATGGTGTTGCTTTTAAAATCAACTGTTTTACTGTAGGAAAGCGGAAAAAAAACATATTGAAGTTGGTTATCTTGTCCATTTAGCTTAAAACAATTAAATTTCAGCAAGAAACTCAAAAATATCTGCACCGAGACCTTAACTGTATAAAGTTTTACTTTGTGAGAAAATGCATATTTATGGATGGTTTAAAAAATTCATCCCTCTCCACTCCCCCATTTTCTTTGATTCCTACAGTGATGCACATAGGTATATATACTTACCAAATACCATGCTTTGGAGAGTAAAAATAGTGAAGATATATTCTTCCATAGTCCGAGAGAAGAGAAAAAAACGAGTAGATATGTGAGTTTAGGACAAATAAAGTAGATATAGCCTTATGCGTGTGGTCAAAAGAGTACAGGAAACCAACGATGCAGTCATATACACTAAATGAAACTTTACCAACTGTGTTCCAAGAGGAGGCTGACACCAAAACCAATCATTAAGATAACACACTAGCAAAAATATAACGGGTTCCTGAGCATTTGAAGATCCTACAAAACAATAGTAGAGGTGGTCTAACATTGACCTAAACTAGTTTTGCTATAAATGTATGGTATGCGAAGTCAGAGAAAATTATTTGATTCACCTTCATCCCACTGAAGACATGGTGGTGGAAGAAATAGAGTCCATTAGTTGAACCCCCTACCCAAATAGCCCTCCTCTAAATTTCTATACGTTGGAAGAAGTACAATAGAATCCATTAGCCAAGCATTCCCTAGCTAATAGTGTGTTCTAACACCCCTTACATTTATTTATGTATTTATTTTGCAAACATGTTAGAAGAATTGTTATCTATTTAGTATTACACTTAATTACCAGAATATTTTTTTTATGTGTTTCTCTTTCAGTACTACTGATTCCTGTAGCTGCATAGAAAGCGTTTATTAAAAAACAATCCCTGCTCACCTGGTATGATCTCATTACTGCTGTGAAACCGCATAGCCCTTAATGATTAGCTAAGAATAGCTGATAATTTTAACAATTTTTATTTATTACGTATAAACAATAAGGACAGAGAAAAGGCTGCAGGGGTAAACTTAAAAAACAATTAAGAAATACATGAAATTAAGAAATATATGATCTACAAATATATTTCAATATCAACTTAAACGGACACTCAAAGCACCAAAAAAACTTTAGCTTAATGCGATGGTTTTAGTGTATAGATCATGTCCTTGCAGTCCCACTGCTCAATTCTCTGCTATTTAGGAGTTAAATAACTTGCTTTATGCAGCTCTAGCCACACCTCCCATGACTGAGACTCACACTGTCTTCTTAAACACTTCCTAAAAATGACATATCTAATTTTTAAACTTCCTTTATTGTACAGTCTGTTTAATTTGGAATGTCCTACCTCCTGCTTTGTAATTGGCTGCAAGAGAAAACAAACAGGGATCTCTAGTGTGTGATTAAAGTTCAATTAACAGAGCAGGGGATACAAACAGGGCCGGACTGGCCCACCGGGATACCGGGAAATTTCCCGGTGGACCGTCGGCACCTAGAGCCGGGCAGGCAGCTGGCTCACCTGCGGCCGCAGACGGAGCTCTTTCGGCGGCCGCAGGGTTTGCAGGCTGTTCTTGCGGCCGCAGGGGGAGCTGGCTGTTCTGTCTCTGCTCCCTCACTCCTGCACGCCGCTTAATGAGACCGGGGCCGGAATTTGACGTCATATTCCGGCCCCGGTCTCATTAAGCGGCGCGCTGGGGAGGGGGAGCAGAGACAGAACAGCCAACTCCCCCTGCGGCCGCAAGAACAGCCTGCAAACCCTGTGGCCCAGAACAGCCAGCTCCCTCTGCGGCCGCCAGAAGAGCTCCCCATGCCAGCACACAGGTAGCAATTATGTGTGTCAGTGTGAGTGTATGTGTGTGTGTGTCTGTCAAGGTGTGTCTGTCTGTCATAGTGTGTGTCATGGTG